TATAAGCTATTGTGCTTTATCCCCACCCCAACCCAAACAGTTTCCAAGGTTACGCATCTCTTCACAAAAAGACGATAAACTAAATCATTAGCGCCACTACTTAAACTGTATGTAAATTTGAAGGTAACGTAAAGTTTAACTCGCCAGACTTTTCAACTTGCCGTGTTAACAATACTAAGTTCATTATTTTATTTTTATTTATTTTTTTTCCATTAAAACAAAAACGATTTAGTAATTGGCTAAAAGAAAAGAAAAGTAAATCGCAGAAGCATTTTTAGTATGCAGCACTCATAACAAGCATACATTTGTTACTCATTAAAAAGTTAGGATTCATACGTGATAATACACTATCCTGCAATAAACAAATCAACTATTTATGTAGCAAAATCTACTTCAAGTTATTTAATTTTGAAAGTGTCAAGAATCTTTTGAACGCTAAAATCAAGTATGTATGTATGTATGTATGTATGTATGTATGTATGTATGTATGTATGTATGTATGTATGTATGTATGTATGTATGTATGTATGTATGTATGTATGTATGTATGTATGTATGTATGTATGTATGTATGTATGTAGGTAGGTAGGTAGGTAGGTAGGTAGGTAGGTAGGTAGGTAGGTAGGTATGTGTGTGTATGTATGTATGTATGTATGTATGTATGTATGTATGTATGTATGTATGTATGTATGTATGTATGTATGTATGTATGTATGTATGTATGTATGTATGTATGTATGTATGTATGTATGTATGTATGTATGTATGCATGCATGCATGTATGTATGTATGTATTCTTTTTTTATCGGATCATTAATGATCGATCACTAACTGTGCCAACAATTAGCGTACCCTGGTTGTGCCATTAATAGGTTGTTTGAATTTTAGCATTTGATAATCATTGTTATCACTATCGTATGGACGAAATGACCTTGATTAATTTTCTTTATAAATTTATCTAGAATAAAACAAATTTTGCTTTATTGTCGTCTTTTTCCAGCTTAGGTTTCACTTGCTTTTACTGAAATGGAAACAATGCACATTATAATGCTTAGTAAACATATTTACCGGTGTTAAAACCATCGCTGTTTCAATAATGGACTAAATCAATCGGTCTGTTTGTTTTTCTTGGCACGGTTATCAAAAAAAAAAGATAAGTGTAACAATCGATATTTGAAAGTAGATACAATTTGTGCATATAAAACCATAGGTGGCACTCCAGACTAATTTAAATAGCACAGTTTATATACGAGGTCTCCGTAGAATCACCAACAGATTCAATAACGCAGATTTCTCAAAATTCATTTTTTATTTGAATTTAAAGCTTTAGTATAATTTATAGATGTTAAGCGGAGGAAATTGAAAGTATATAAAATTACAGTCATTTGGATACTTTGGACATGTATAATTATAAACGTGACTATTTTAGAGAATTTATCAATCTGTTTTATTTTTTATTTCTTTTCACAGCTTCACCTAAGTTATGAAATATTCATAGTGTCAGCACTGTAATAATCATCTCAAGTAAACTACCATTTGTAAATAATCATCAATGATCCTTGACGTAAATAGTTTTTAATGGCTGTGACTACTTATGCCATACGGTAACTTTATTTTTAGAACCAAACAAGTACGAAAATAATTGTGGCCCATTCAATAGGTGTTCGTGTAATCAATGGTCTATAATGCATTGTTTAAATAAAAAGCAGTGTTGTTTCTTTATAGGTAATACATTAGCATAGCAAGGAGTATTGGAGAGGGGTAAGACGGCGATAATCCTAATATTGTCTTCAGGTAAAATAACATTCTTTACTATTATAATAAGAGAGAGAGAGAGAGAGAGAGAGAGAGAGAGAGAGAGAGAGAGAGAGAGAGAGAGAGAGAGAGAGAGAGAGAGAGAGAGAGAGAGAGAGAGAGAGAGCCGCTACTAACAGTGGTGGCGCTAGTAAGCAATTACGCTCAGGAGCCAAGTAAAGGGGGAGGGGCACATTCGGGAGAGGTTTTTTTTTTTCTTTTTGCACGTGACATTTTCGGCGTATGTCACTTTTCCTTGGTGTAACGGGGGCAGTTCATCACAAATCTAGTTTTGGAATGATAGTGTGATTGGGATGGAATAGGGAACTGGCATATGAAATGTTTTCTATAGCTAAGAATGCCTCCGGGTGCCTCCAACCCTCGCGCTGACTCTGGCTTCTACTTCAAATATTAACTGAAACTATCATTCATATACTGCTCTTGTTGATGTTATATTGTTGTTGTTGTTGTTATCATCATCATCATCATCATCATCATCATCATCATCATCATCATCATCATCATCATCATCATCATCATCATTGTCATCAGTAGTAGTAGTAAAAGTAGCAGCAGCAGCAGTAGTAGTAGTATTTAAGCAATCTTGAGTAGAATGCCTACCTTCCATCAAATTCTTAGGATAAGAACAGTATATGCATAGTAACTACAAGTTCAGATTTATTTATACAGCTTAATTTGCCACGTTAACAAGGAAAACCGTATTATGGAATAGTTATTCGTTGAGAAGCATGGGGAAATGGTATTATGGCATGGTCATTCGCTGAGAAGCATGGGAGAAATGGTATTATGGCATGGTTATTCGCTGAGAAGCATTGGAAAATGGTATTATGAGGGTGGACACATTATGTACGTTAATCTGAACGACTCTTTCCCGTACATAAAGTAAAAAAGCATAGGTTAAAAGCATGAAATATAATTCCAAATATATCCGGTAATTGTTTCGTCATAAATGTCATCAAATTTTAATTTTATAACACCTTTGACACCGGTTATGTATGAATATTTGAATGAAATTTAAAAGGTTCATGTATAGAAATCTACACCTAACGAGACATGTATATTGTTTTTTTCCACTCACCAAGAATGATGTAGATCGCTGTTTTATACTTGCTATTTAAATTGTATTACATTCTAGACTAGATTACCTACAATGGAAAGTAATCTATGTCCACGGCAATGTTATATTATATAAATGCAGTCTAACGAAGCTGTCAGAATCACATCGGTCACATGAGTCAAATTAAAACACAATATTCTATATTGGTTTGGTTTTGTAGTATATCTGAGATGAAGAAACAAAATCTCTATTGAATTTCAGACAACATGGCTTACAAATATAACTTTATACAAGAATAGCACTCGTTGCCACATAACACAATTATGTCATCTCACTACAATAAATATTACAATACTGGTTTGTCTTCTTCTGTTCGTTATTTTCTATAGGTTTTCCAGAGCATGCACCAATCATTGGATAAACTCCCATGGTCCGCTTAAAATCTTATGGTAGAACCGAAGACATATTAGCATACTGTATAATCAACAGTATCTGAGACACGATGCTCAAATTTAAAAAAAAAAAAAACTATATTAATTTATTGTTTAGAAAATGTCCTTTTTACGATGATATTCAAGACATGTGCATATAAGATATTTTTAATCAGAAATATTCAGGTGTCGAAGCCTTTTGTTCTTTTCTCAAGTCTAGAAATAGTCATAAATTTCACGATATGACTTCATCATCTTCCAAAGAAAAAAATATTCTTAGTGTATGTATATGCGTACGTGTACGTGTGTGTGATTGGACAATCGCTAAACGAAATCTTTAATTTCTAACATACTCAGTTTTCTCACGGTTTTATAATAATATATTACTAGGAAGAGGAAAGAATGATATTTCCTAAATCTAACAGTGGATACTCAGCCGATATATTTCCCGCTGTTTCTGGAATTATTTATACCATTCTTCCATGATATTTCGTATCACTTTCCTTACTTTTATCTTCCGCAATCAATAGAATTAACGGAAGCTCTCCTATCGCGAGGTCACATTTAATCGCATTTACACCTTTCAGGTGTCCAAATAGTTCCTCTTTCTTTTCTTTCCGAATAAATTCTTTTCCCAAAACGTTCTTTTACCGCCCGCTGGCGTTTGAACGATCCGGATAAATCGTGATTATTACAGTCAATGACTTGAATCAGCTTCCGACTTAGTCGGGTGCCCGACTTACCATTCTTGGCATCTATTAGGCTAATTTGAGTCGGCATAGACTTCTATCAAGTTCTATAGCATTTCCAAACATATTTTATATTGTGCTATCATAAATGTTTGACGTAAGATTACCAGATAAATGAATGTTTATTACACAACGGCGGACGGGGGGGGGGAGATCGGCAGGGTCATTAAAAATATAATTTTGAAAATATTAGAATACTGCAAAATACATGTACATGATACTACTTTGCATTTATTTATTTATTTATTTATTTATTTATTTATTTATTTATTTATTTATTTAAAGAGGCTATACGTTTGGAGTTCTGGTATTCATAAGTGCAATGTTCATTATCTTTGCAGCAAATATAGAAGCGATGAACTTTCCGCGTAAATAAATCAAGAGCATAGAATAGTAAAAATTTTCCGTATTTCATACATTTACGCGTACATATTATGCACTGTCAAAAAGGTAGTTTCTTATTCACACACAAACAAAAAGACAGACACATAGAGTCTACTTTACCTGCTATTCGTTTCATCACACCTTTAAAAGCTGAGCAAATTATGTAAGGTTACATTTCACTATAGATTACCCGGATAACTTTAACTTAAATGAAAGAAGTTAGAATTATATTAGAATAAAAGAATTCCAAAAATATGTGTTGAGTCAATTAAAGCAATAGTTGTCTGAACCCTATGCATCATTACTATTTATCGTTCCAGAACTCAGCCATACAAATTAAGAGAATGTCAGCGAAAAGTTCGGAAAAGAATGTATGTATGTGTGATTGGGATTTTGAACATATATTTTTTTTTTATAAAAAATTAAGTCATATCGCTACAATGTCTTCAGTGTGACATGTAGCACCCAGTCACATTATCCTGACACCAGGCTAACCAGTCTTAACCAGTAAATGGTGAGCACCAAAAGAGGCAGTTGCTAATACCATTTTATAAGTCTTTGGTATGATTCAGCCCGGGTTCGAACCTGAGACCTCCCTCATCCGAGGCGGACGCTCTAATCACTAGGCCACCGGAGCGGTCTCATAAAAGATGTCGGACGCTAAACGAATTTGCAAATAGCTAGAACAGTACCGTATTCAATATTTTTAACCGACATCCTTCACGTTATGCGGTTGATGGAGTTCAGAAAACTTTGTACTGAAGCAAACAACACGAAGGATTCATTATGTAGGTTTCAGTCCAACTCAACATATGGTAGACTGATGCATGGAGAGATTTTATTTGTATTTTCACTAAAAGTACTTGTCCTTCATGGGAACTTTTTAAATAGCAGAATACAATACTCACCAAACTATGTTTGCCATTTTAAATTCTATGGGTTTCATCTCTTGGCTTGAGATTTGCTCAATATTATTTTTAACTGTTTGATCAATCGTGGAAAGGTGAGATGGTTTGGTTTGGTGCTCTTCCGGCACAGCAACATAAGTAGTATTTAGTGCCGAGGCAATTGGAGCAAAATGCCTTACACAAGATCACACCACGGTAGCGGAAACAGGGTGGTCAGATGGTAGGATGTTAAGCCTTTTGGTCATAAGCTTGCACGTTAAGTATTGACTTTCACAAAAAGAATAAATAAAATACATAAATATATTTCATGATCACTGCCGAAAAATGTGAATAAGGGTATACTTATTGTCAGATATAGGAATGTTTATGCATGTAATTTCACGTTGTAACGGTGTTTGGTGTGGATAAATTATTAACTTAACATTATATGGGGGGACAATATATGTAAATATGCCAGTCAGGAATTACCACCAATGAGTGTAACAAGGCGATGAAAGGCATGTCTAATCGATCTGTTATGGCTCCTTGCAGGGTCTGCAGATTAGCTGTCATTAATTAATCACTCAGCATCACTATTGTGTTTACTGGCGGTTGCGTCCGCCGTGCAGGAATACTTAACGTATAAAAGACTCCCGGGAATGCGTGCACGCCGGATTCATCTGATCACTTGCGATGATAACGTTAATTAGACTGGTCCCTGATTGAACATTCGAGCAGCTAAGATGCCAGTCTGGACACTAGCCAACAATTTGTAGAGTCACGCTTACGCCTAATGCTAATACACACAGCTGGTGTAAAGTGACATTTTCCAAGTCTGTTTGTTTTCGTAAGTAAAATTATCCGATTTGGTAATAAACATTTTCATTAGGTACTTGGAATCTACTCAGGTGTTATACAAAAAAAGATGGTAAAAATTGTCTTCTTAACCTTTGAGGGAAATATAACACAATTAATTTAGCACTTTAAATAATGGTTCTTATCTTTATTTGCAGATATACTTCCTAATTGTTTATACTGCGCACTCTCTTTATTGATTCTTACTTTCTTTTTACCTTTCTTTCTTTCAGGATAACTGAACTGCAGTCATTTTCCGCCAGAGTATAATTCACATATCTTTTTTTAATACCAGTAACTATTGTATTTGAAATCTTTATTATGATAATAGGGTCTCTTCAATAAGAATAATTAGTGTGCTTCAAATAATTATTGTGATACAGAACTCAATTTTTCGAGTTTCTAAACATTTACAACAGCGTTACTTTTCATGACTTGTTTATTCCTCGGTCATAAATGATGAAACACTGATCAGCCAGTTAAAGTGAGTGTGATATTTAGAGGCAGATTTATTTGATTTCTAAAACTGGTCAGTTAACTTAATTCCTGACGTTCGTATGATGTGGTATATTCCCTGTAATGTTATCAGGTTCAAACACCCCGTATCTGGTAGGTTAGCAATAATGCCCCATAACAGTCTGATTTATGAGTATTAATTAGACCAACTGTTTGAGTGGGACTGGATCTAATCATATCAAAACTTCTGAAACTTGTCTGATATACTTATTTTAGTACTCTTCAGGGTGACTTTATTGACAGAAGACACTTAAAGTAAAAATTCAGAAATCTTTGATTCACTTTCATTACTCATACTTTGACACTATTGGGTAGTTTTCTGTAAATTAGTTAGAACGGTTATTCATTCAATAAAATAATTGTAGGTAGTTGCTAGATCAAAATCACACACATACATACATACATACATACATACATACATACATACATACATACATACATACATACATACATACATACATACATACATACATACATACATACATACATACATACATACATACATACATACATACATACATACATACATACATACATACATACATACATACATACATACATACATACATACATACATACATACATACATACATACATACATACATACATACATACATACATACATACATACATACATACATATATATATATATATATATATATATATATATATATATATATATATATATATATATATATATATATATATATATATATATATATATATAAAGAATAAAATTCATGGCGGATGATAGCTTTTCAAGCGCACTGGATCCAGCAAAGGATAATGTGACAGGAATTGATTGAGATAGATGCAATAAACTGACGACCAACAGTGCAAAACTAGTATATAACTAGCTTGAGCGTTTTCGACTCTTAATGAGTCTTTTTCAAAGTCATATACTAAACATATACAAAACAAACAAATAAAACATAGAAAACGTTGTCCATGTAAAAAACAACATGGCTGTTTCTGCATGAATTAAACCTATAGATGCATTGTGTCTCCAGCAGCCTATATAGACGTGTTACTGATACTCAACAAGTCTCTCTCTCTCTCTCTCTCTCTCTCTCTCTCTCTCTCTCTCTCTCTCTCTCTCTCTCTCTCTCTCTCTCTCTCTCTCTCTCTCTCTCTCTCTCTCTCTCTCTCTCTCTCAAAAAGAGCTAAACAAGAGTTGTTAGCGCCCTACTTCAATTATTCAAACCATCTTTCATGCTTAAATCATAAGTGTTTATTATATTGAATTGAGTGTGAAGAAAAATAGAGAAAAAAAGAAAACGATGAACTTACTAATGTACAAAGGTGATTGTGAATATCTACAAAAGGAATAGAACTACATTTTGTAGTGGACACACTTTGGGATTTGATGAGTTCAATCACTCGGTCAATACACAACTGCCTGTAGTAAATCTTAACTCTGTTCTAATGGCTAATATATGTATCTGTATATGATATAAATAAAATATATGTACAGTATGTTCTCTGTATCAGTTATACACTACTCGCTGTATAATTTTTTTTATTAAAAGGAAACTTGGCAAGCCTCGAAATGTATACATCTAAAGGTATATCATTCATACAGCGCACATACTATATATATATATATATATATATATATATATATATATATATATATATATATATATATATATATGTGTGTGTGTGTGTGTGTGTGTATATATATATATGTGTGTGTGTGTATATGTATATATATATATGTGTGTGTGTATATATTTATATATATATATATATATATATATATATATATATATATATATATATATATATATATATATATATATATATACGTGTAGATGAACACGTTTACCTCTGATTAGTATAGTAGGGCGTATATTATTACAATTAGGGAATTTTATTCAGACCTAGAGGGAGACTGTTGACACGGTATTATCACCGCCCTGTTAAGATTGACAGTATCAATCTCTCAATAGATGTGACTGGAATTATAGGTGCTATTCCTATGTATGGTACAATAAACAACCTGCCCACCTTTGTTATAGTAATACTTGGTATTTACCCAGCACCAAACAACCCCTTTAATATTGTTCAAATTATGGATTAAACTCCGTTGCTTTTGTTATTTTGATTGAAACTGTTCTGTCATTAGTTTATGATATTACTTTATCAGTGTAGAAAAGGTGTACAAGGTTAACATAAGGTTCTTGAGTGTGTTTTATTTTTCAATATATCGACAAACAGAAAAGAGTTTGACAATATCTTATAATTCTCTTCACAAGTTCTTTCGTTTGTTATATTGACGCTATCCAGCAGGCTTCTATCGAAGGTCAAATGGCACAAATGTTACTCAAGAAAGAAACTCAATAGTTTGAACTGAAACAATCTTTCTCAAGAAAATTGAGATTTTTCTTTACTCTTTAGTTCTGATAGCTTTGAGAATAGTTGACAACTCCTTTCAAAAAGATCCGAGATTCCTGTTCGAGCTTTGACTTTTCTTACTAATATACAGTATATTTCTTTATTTTATTTTATTTTATTTTATTTTATTTTATTTTATTTATTTTTTTTATTTTATTTATATAGTGAAAACCTGATCTAAAGATAAATTTAGAAATAATATACATTATATATATTTTTTCGAAGAGTACGAATCAAATAAACTTTAAATAAAGAGTGAATGGTATATGTCACTTATCGGAGAGAGTTTGAATACAATTATTGGGTTACACAGTTCCATCTTTCATTAGGTACGTGTTAAGGAGATATATGTTATTATAACAGAAAATATAAATTAAAAGTTTTCAAATTATACCAAATTTATGTCACATAAATAATTAAATCACTGTTGTTTTTTTCAGAAGAGATATTATTTTATCATTTCATCGCTTCTTTAACATTGATAATCATTTAACAATTTTCAGTTTAAAAAGAAATGTTTATAACCGTTTCGTAACTGTAACACAATTTTGTTTTCTAGCCAATGATGTGCTATTTTCGAAAGTACAATACTTAATTTATTGCAAGAAATGCCATATTGGAAGCCGTAATTGCATGAATCGATAATATATTATTTCTGACTAGCTACCTACTGATTGCTAAGTGACGTGTAAATCTGACAGCCAATCATAACCCGTGTTCCAGTACTTTCCAGTGTAAGTGAAATTGTGGAATGTTCGAATAAAATCGAAAGTTTTCTAAAATTTAATTTTAATAATGCACAGTGTCAAAATACCTAAGAAGTAAACTTGTTTAGCGCAAAGCGTCTAAATTAACGCTTTCTTTTCAATTAGCTTTTAACAAAATATTTTGAGTATGTCTACTATTGAGCACAATAATTTTGGAAATAAATGAATTTTGTTTCAATCTTTCTGCGAGTTTATAGTTAGTCAATAAAATCCA